TTTTTCATGAACCACAGGTTGGCAGGTCTGTGACCGGCGCGACGAGAAGGCGCTCGATCGAAAAACCCATTTTATATTAATTAAATTTATAACTTTTTGGGGGGTAAATGAAATTACTCATTAAAATATTTAATTATGCATTGTGTAAACTAATTCTCCCATTCGTGCTCCTGCTGATTGAACCCCTTGTCATTGTAAACATTGGCACATCATGTGCAGTAACCATATATACACCATTGATTGTAGTACTATAACGTACGTTGCGTTACTTATAACGGTGTGCTACTATAAACGTATTGTTCTGCATACGTATGGTGGCATACTAGTGAACACGTATGTTCGTTACTATTAACGTCATTCGTGCGTACTATAACGTACTGTGTTTGTGTTTTCCTAGGACCCCCGGGGATCCCTCCGGAGGGCCGACGTACCTGCTACACTTGTGACGTGAACGACAGCCCGTCATCATGCTGCAGCGCGGCAAGTGCCAACTGACTCGCCCATACGCCCTGCTTCCACATTTCCAGTACCATGCGCCGACTTCAGACCCGGGGAGTGGTCAGGGACGTCCCGCCTCTACGGGGGATCGCCGTCAGTTGAGTGCTTGAACGGGTTTGGAGTAGCGCGCGGGGTGTGTGGGAACCGGGCTGTTTTAGGTGTGTGGTATCTGCACTGGTAGATGGTGCAAGGGCTGACACTATCATGTGTTAACAACACACGAGAGCGTAGTTGTAGCCGAGAGCTAGTAGTTGGCGAATATTTTGAGTGATCACTTAATTCAGGGCCAGTGTTGCAAGCGTTCATATCTCGCAGTATTAACAAGTTGTCAAGCCTGCAGGCAGGCCAAGCACATAGGCAGTGCAGGCATCCAGGGCAGATACAGATCAGGCAGCGCATGCTGCTAGGACAGAGCAGACATCGACAGGCAGGCATTGTGTGTATAGGTGTCTACCTAGTACTATGTCATGATTGGTGTATATATATATATATATATATATATATACACACATGCATGACATAGGTGTGTATATATATATATATATATAATTATATAATATATATATAGTATATTCATGATGTGTGGTGTGTGTGTGTTTGCAGCGTTGCGAGTATCGTGTAACTGCCTCCGTGGAGTAACACACCTTCCCGTTGCTCGCGTGTAGTAACGACGAAAGGTCAGAGCGTGCCTATGCAGCGAGACGTGACTTGTGTGCAGATCGTCGCCGCCGCCGCCGGTGCGCACAAACCCTTACCAAGCGTGAAGGGCAACCGGCACCGACCCCAACAACCAGGTCATCAGCTGGACGCGTACGTGCCTCACCATGCTCCACTGCGCTGTTCCCGCCCGCCACCCCACCTATCACTTTGGGACCACCCCCTCTCGTCCTCCGTCGCTTTTGCACCTCCACCAACGTGAATGCGGCAACGGCACGACCCCAATCAAACCTGGTCATAAAGCTGGACAGTACGTGCCTCACCCATGCCACTGCGCGCGCGCCCGCCCCGCCAGCCCACCTATCACCACCACCCTCGCCCGCGCTACAAACCCCAGCCAACGTGAAGGGCAACGGCAACCGACCCAAAACAACCCTGGGTCATAAGCTGGACGGTATGTGTAGGGACCTCCGCACCTGCCATCCATGCCGCGCCTCCACGCTCACCACGCATCCAACCCCCCTAATCACCCTCACCCACCCCCCTCGCCAACCCCCCGCCTGCCAACCCAACCCCTCGGCCCGCGCCACAAACCCCACCAACGTGAAGGCAACGGCAACCCGACCCCAACAACCTGGTCAATAAGCGCTGGACCGTACGTGGCCTCAACCATGCTTGCGCGCCCACACGCCACCCCACCAATTACCACCCCTCCCACACTACCACGTATGCCCCCTCCCACACTCCCATCTTGCCCTCTGGTCCCTCCCACACTCCATCTTGCCCTCCGGTCCTCCCACACCCATCTGCCCTCGGTCCCTCCCACACACTCCATCTTGCCTCCGGTCCCTCCCACACTCCATCTTGCCCTCGGTTCCCTCCCACACCGTCCATATCTTGCCTTCGCGTCCCTCCCACACTTCCATCTTGCTCCCGTCCCCATCCCACACTCCAATCTTGCGCCCTCGGTCCCTCCCACACTCCATCTTGCCCTCGTCCCTCCCCAGACTCCATCTTGCCCTCGGTCCTCCTCCCACCACTCCATCCTTGCCTCGTCCCTCCCACACTGCCATCTTGCCCCACTCCTATCTCTAGACCCAGCTTGATACGATTCCCCCTCCACCTCCCACCACATCTCCCCGCTCCCTCCCACATCCCACCACCCCCTCCCCTCCCACACCCATCACCCCCCCCTCCCTCTCTACCTCCCACCACACCCCTCCCCGTCCCACCTCCACCACATTTTCCCACTCCCCTCCCACATCACACCACGCCCCCTCCCCTCCCACATCACACCACGCCCCTCCCCTCTCAACCGTCCGCACCACATCTCCCCCTCCCTCCACATATCAACCCACGGCCCCCTCCCTCCCACATTCCAGCCACATCTCCTTCCCCTCCCACATCCCACGCACGCCCCCTCCCCTTCCACATCCCACCACGCCCCATCTTCCCACATCCCACCGCTGCCGTCCTCCCCTCCCACACCCTGCCCCATCCCCCCCTCCCCTGCCCCATACTCGCGACGCGTCGTCCCGTCCCGCGCTCATTCCCCGTCTGAACAACGTTCACTTGTCTTGCCTCGTCCGCAGCCGATGGACCGCGCGGAGCACAACGGGCCGGGATTCTTCTACCAGCTGAAGTACCGCAAGCACGACGACGACAACCCCGACGGAGAGTGGACGGTGGTCAACATCACGGACCCGGACAATAGCTCGCTGACCGTCGAGCCGACCGACACCTACCAGCCGTACGACATCGAGGTCATGGCGTTCAACGACAAGGGCCCCGCGACCCTGCCGCCGATACAGATGGTCGGATACTCCGGCGAGGACAGTGAGTAGTGGCGCCACCTGCCTTTGTCGCGTCGTTAGCGGTCGGTTGTCGACGGGAACGACGGGTTTAGAGGAGAACGTTCATATTAAATTGTCGTATTAATGTCATGTTAAATAATACTATTACTGGTAAATGATCAGTAATATCGTGATTCAAAAATACAAAAAATAATGAGAATTATTGATAATATTTTGGGTGATTTTTTTTTTAAAGCATGATTTGGTTTGTAGCGTATGTTTGTGGCTGAATAGTGTAGCATCGTGTGGATGTTCGTAAACGAATTGCACTGCCTGTAGGCAGGTATCAACCTCCACGCTTGAGTCTCGAGTATTCATGATAGTAATTCGTGTCGGTATATACGATTAGCCGGGCCATCTATATATTATGTCAACTCACTGCCCCTCGTAAACATGGTTGTCCCTCGCGACGGCGTTGCTAGGTTTGTAGTTGTCCGCGGCGATGGCGTTGCCGCGTCTGTGGTTGCCATGGGGATGGCATTGCCGTGTCTGTGGTTGCCGTGGCGACGGCTTGACGGCGTCTGCGCTTGCTTTCAGAGCCGACGGTCGTGCCTCAGAACTTCAACGTGACGGCCGTGCTCGGCCCCAGGACGGCCGAGTTTGTCTGGGACCCAGTAGATGGCAGTGTGGAGAACATCAAGGGAGCATTCGTCGGTTACAAGGTACGCGAGAGCTGGAAGCGGGGAAATGCAGTAACGCGAGGCGGGGGAGATGACGAGAGCAGGACGAGTGCGGAGAGAAGATGACGAGAGAGGAGGGAGGAGACAGTAGGGCCCCCGGAGAGAGGAGAAAGAGAGATGAGAGAGAGCTAGAGGAAATGAGAGTTAGTGATGAGAGAGATGAGAGATAAATGTGAGAGAAAGTGA